TCTGGGATCATGACCTGAGCCGAAGGCAGATGCTTAACCATCTGAGCCACCCAGGTGCCCGAAAATATAATTTTAAAAATAAATACTAAACTCAAAGTAGAAGAAAAGAATGTGAAAAGGAGAATTTTTTTAAATCATAAAGAAATGAAGCAATAAACTGGACTTGAGAACAAGTGACAGTTAAAGAAGACGAAGAAACTCCAACATGCACACAACAGAGTCTGGGCAGTAGGAAACAAAAGGGAACAGGATAAACACTAAAAACCAATTCAATGTTGCTATAACACAAAAGATCTGGAAGAGCATGTCATCTGAGAAAATTAACCAGGATGACTGATGCTAAGACATATTCTGGTAAAACTGCTGGTCTCCAAAGAAAAAGCAAAGTACTCTGAACATCCAGAAAAAGAGACCAAGTCACCTACATGGAAAGATTATCTTCAATTTTAACAGCAATGCTTTGAGCCAGAAGAAAATTATCTATTTAAAATACATAAAATAGGAAACGTGAGTCTAGGGTCTAACTAACCAAACCAAATTCATATGGCCACATAAAGGCCACAGCACGCAAGAACTCGGAGTACTGTTTCCACAAGCGCTTCCTGAGAAGGCTACTGCAAAAGGCACCTCAGGCAACCAAAATGAGTAGGGGTACACTGATACGAGGATGGCGCTGAGCATTAAATATATATTTATTACAGAATGAAGTTATTAATTATAATACTAAATGAGTGTTATAAGAGGGAGATCATGTTGTGTAATGGTTATATGCTCTGACAACATATAATGTAACTATTTTCAATCATGAAGAGAGAACATATTATTGGTAGAGTATCGCTATCGTGTGTGATATATGGGAAAAACAAATGAGTGATTATGCACTATTCTGGTTTTGTTATTCCCGTTGTCCTTAAAAACCAGAATTCTTGTTGTGGAAGAGAGGAATGTAAGTGTTAGAAGAGATCAGGTAAAAACCCCTTAGTACTGAATTTTAATTGGAATTATGAGTATAATTCCACTATATACTTAAAATTCCAACGTGCCAACAATATGCCATATAATTCACAAGGTAATAATATATTTCCTAGTTCTATCCACTAAAAAGGCCTAGAAAGAATGACTAACCCAGTAGCAATGAGTATTCCCTAGTACCCAGACTAATTTCCATTTCCCACAAAAACAAAGATTTCTTTTTGAAATGGCCGATTCCAGACCTGGGGCAGGAAATATACTCAGTGACAGCCTAGAACACCTCCTCACGGGGATGGCTTGGAAAGTCAAAGACTAGTAGGCTCAGGAGTCAACCTGGAGGGACCTTCCACTGATCAGAAAGGATAACTGCAATGTTCTGAAACACATTAAATATACTGAAATCTATGAGTTCAAAATAATACTAAAAAATAATAATTGGTCATCTTAGAAACAATGACAGGAAACCAACTTATTCTGAAAAGGGTATATATAAACTGTACCACTGGGTAACCAAAAAAAGTTGAGAAGACGCTCCTTTTCTTATGTGCATACCTGATTTCTTTTTTTTTTTTTAAGGTTTTATTTATTTGAGAAAGAGAGGGAAAGCAAGAGAGAGCGCGCACTAGTCGGGGGTGGGGGACAGAGGGAGAGGAGAAACGGGCTCCCTGCTCAGCTGGAGGTTCCCCTCGAACACGCAATGAGTGATAGGGAAGGGGGTGGCCCCTTTCCAGCTATGCCCCATTTCCAGGGAAGTTTCTCTTGATAGAAATATTCTAGTTAATAAATACAAAGGAGGAATGATAGCATTAAAACATCACCATCTTGGAACCTTTATTAAATTAATGGACCTACATATTGAGCATCAATGGCTGCTAACAATGCAAAAAGAATAACCAGACTATGTGCCTACTGACAGAACACAGAACCACCTACAGAGAATAGGCTTTGCCAAAAAACTGAATCCAAACACAATCAAGCATCTAGATCCAACTACCAACTTACTGTAAATACAGAAGACAAAAGAACATGTTAGCAGTACCATGGAGATGGAATCAGCAAAATTCAGACCATAGCAAATTCTACAGGTCAACAAACCCGTTTTATTTTTTTTAAAGATTTTATTTATATTTGTCAGAGAGATAGAGAAAGAACACAAGCAGGGGGAGTGGCAGGCAGAGGGAGAAGCAGGCTCCCCGCTGAGCAAGGAGCCCGATGCGGTACTTCATCCCAGGACTCTGGGGATCATGACCTGAGCCGAAGGCAGACATTTAATCAACTAAGCCACCCATGGGGCACCTGGGTGGCTCAGTCGTTAAGAGTCTGCCTTCGGTTCAGGTCATGATCCCAGGGTCCTGGGATCGAGCCCCGCACCGGGCTCCCCGCTCTGCGGGAAGCCTGCTTCTCCCTCTCCCATTCCCCGCTTGTGTTCCCTCTTTCACTATCTCTGTCAAATAAATAAATAAAATCTTAAAAAAAACAAAACAAAACCTAAGCCACCCAGGAGTCCCTCTTTGTTTTTAAAGACTCATTTATTTGAGAGACACAGAGAGAGAGAGAGAAAGAGCAAGCACGAGAGAGGGGAGGGGCAGAGGGGGAGAGAGAGTCCCAAGCAGTCTCCTCACTGAGCAAGGAGCCCGATGCCAGGCTCAATCTCACAATTCTGAGATCATGACCTGAGCCGAAATCAAGAGTCGGACATTCAACTGACCTAGCCACCGAGACACCCCTCCTCCTTACACATTAAGTTTAAAGAAAATGGGTTTGGGGCGCCTGGGTGGCTTACTCGGTTTGGCCTCGGACTCTAGGTTTCAGCTCAGGTCATGATCTCTGGGTCGTGAGACTAAGCCCTACATTAGGCTCTGCGCTCAGCAGGGAGTCTGCTTGAGATTCTCTCCCTCTCCCTCCCTCTCCCTCCTTCTCCCTCTGCCTTTCTCCCTGCCCGCACATGCACACCCATCCCTCTCTAAAAATAAATAAATAAATGTTAAAAAAAAAAAAAAAAGAAAGTGTAAGGAGGGAAAAAAAGAGAGATAAAGGGTTAAACTATAGCCTGAAAAAGGCTAAAGAGATAGTACTAAAAATAGACAAAAACTAAACCCCAATATTTAGGGATGACCATTTGGGTAATGAAACCATGAAGAAAAGCAAGGCAGTAGTTACAAGTCAAGATGGAGTTTCCTGGGATGCTTAGCTGGCTCATTTGGTGGAACATGTAACTCCTGATCTCCAGGTTGTGAGTCTGAACCCCACGTTGGGTGTAGAGATTACTTAAAAATAAAATTAATGGATCTACGTATTGAGTATCAATGGCTGCTAACAACGCCTGGGTGGCTCAGTCCGTTAAGCATCTGACTTCAGCTCAGGTGATGATCTCACATTCTTGGGATCGAGCCCCGCAATGTCAGGCTCCCTGCTCAGTGGGGAGCCTGCTTCTCCCTCTGCCCCTCCACCTGCTCATGCTCTCTCTCTCAAATAAATAAATAAAATCTATTAAAAATAAATAAATTTGGGGCGCCTAGGTGGCTCAGTTGGTTATGCGTCTGCCTTCAGCTCAGGTCATGATCCCAGGGTCCTGGGATCGAGCCCCACGTCAGGCTCCCTGCTCAGCAGGAAGCCTGCTTCTCCCTCTCCCACTC